ACATATATGCATATGTTATTTTCTTTCATCATGAAATTTTTGTTATTAGGCCACCGACTAAAGCATGGTAGGCTAAGCTTGCATACCTATATATTGCAATTATGAACCAATTATGAAAGCAAGGAGTGAATTATTAGTCATGTTCGCATTCTAAGAACCTGTTTAAATGAGGTCTATTTACTAATAATAACGTATCAGAATAAATGACTACCCACCAAAGGATTTAGTTTTATTTTTTTGGTTGTTGAAAATTCATATTTATTATAAGAGCAAAAGGAACAGCCCAAACTAACAAGTACATAGAGGTCCAGAGACCAAAAGGAAAAAAGAATACATATAGGCATGTCAGATGACAAAACAAACAGCAGACAATATCCATTTCAAGAATCCCCAACCCAACCCTACATTATCTGCAGTCATTGCCACTATATGGCTAACCGTGTGTTGTATTTTCGTTTTTGGTCAATAGGCTAAACGTGTGTTGTTAGGGTTTTGATAGTTTCACACGAGGTGTGCCCCACGAGCTAGGTCTACCCATTGATGAAGTCATCACATGCATGATTTGCAGAGGAGAAGAGAGAGGAGAGAGGAGAGAGGAGAAAAGAGAGAAGAAGGCAAACCAGAGAAGATATCCCAGCCCTTGATGCAATTAAGCTCACCCAAATGTTAGGACCTATGTTCTATATCCAGATCCAATCGGGTTGCCAAAAGGGTTAAGGTCCTTCCTTTTTGAAGCCCTATCCCTCATAGCTAAAATAACAAATAGTTAGTGATCGAAAAGGGGGCTCTCTTGATTCCTTCATCTGTTTGTTTGGGCCTGCAATGGCTCCTCACTACTCCTTTCTTTAGTACCCATCTTTTTCTCATATCATTTTCCTTCAATTCTCCACCATTTTTCTCCTATATTTTTCCATATTTATTTATTAAAAGATTTCAAACAAAAAACGAATATGTCACAAGGGCTTTTAGACCTCGTTTGTCAGGGAGGACTAGATTAGACTAGACTAACAAAATACCTATATTTTATGTTCAATCAAGGCATAATATGAATATTGTTGTCTAACTTGGAGAATGAAAGAGAACTATTCATAAGAGGTTGATGACTAAAACTTATCCCTTATAATTCCACCAATTTCAATGTGATTATAGGGGGCATAAGTTTTAGTCATCAACCTCTTATAGATAGTCCCCATTCTTCCTCCAAGTTAGACAACATATTTATATTATGCATTCAATGCACATGAAATGTAAGACATTTTTCTAGTCTAGTCTTTTCCTCCCCACCAAACAAGCCTTTAATTAGTTATTAATTCATGAGCCATGTTTTCATTTCATTTATATTTTAAATATGCATTCCTACTGGACAATTATGGTTTAAAATAAAGAAACATGTATCAATTAGCTGTAGACTTAGTGCCATTTCTCTTCCTAATGTTTGAAGAGTTTGAATATCCCAATTCTAACAATTAATTGTCCTCACATTCTTAGCATATACAAGTATAATACTCTAGAACATTCATTGGAAGTAATTCTATGGTGGTAGGACATTCATTCTGGTGGCGGAGTGGAAAGCAAGATAATATCTTCTTCTTCTTTTTTTAGTGAAATGGGGGGCAATTAACCAGTAAACACACAAAAACTAAATGATTAAGACAGTACGAGTTCTTGGAACTCTTAACAAATCATCATCAAAAATAGCCTCAACCCAACTAAGAATCTCAGCAAGATATTATCTTTTGGTTTGCCTCTGGCCCCTATATATTGATCTTCCTCTATGGACATTCATTTCTTCACCGCCCAAAATGAACATGTGGAACTTTTGACATTACTTCTTCAAGAAACAAACTCAGCAGCAGATGTTTTAACATGAATGGGCCATTTTGTTTAGAGGTATCATTCACTCAAGCTTTGTATGATAACTTCGCGCACAAATTCGCTTCCTAGCTATAGGCTGTGTGGAAGGCTCCTTGTTTTTTTCTTTTCTTTTTGGGGATTTTTTTTTTCTGAATTGTGAAAGTGTCGTGGTACCCTAATTTTGTCAACAAATGGAAAAATAAAAAAAAATAAAAAAATAAACATAGTAATCAAACCCTAGCACCTAACAAAAATTAGACCATCAACCAACCTTGTTCTTCCCCTATGCGTGGAAATCAAACCAACTCCAAGTGCCTTATCAGTCAATAGTAAACGAGTTAGCCTACCTACCCTCCAATACATCATTTGTGGTTCACTTGTGTATCACTTTTTATCTTTATTATGATTATTTTGAAGAAATTGAAAGCAATGACATGTTAGATCTTTGAGTATATATGCCCTTGCCATAATTTCATGTAGTCTACTCAATTAGCTATAATAGCTAGTCTTCAGTTATCATCTACTTATATATACATGGGTCCCATCTTTTCAGAAAATGTGTGATTTAATTATTTCTTAACAAAACCTTCATAATGGCCAAGGGGTCTAACTCAGTGAAAAAGGGTCTTGACTTGCAGACAAGAGGTCTCAGGTTTGAATCCCCACAACATCATAATTGTGTGTGTGTGTTAGAAATCCCCCTCCCCTGTAATTTAGACTATCGCTTATACTGAAAAAAAAACATAAACGCCATAATCAAAGCCCATAATTTAACTGATATTAGCTAGTCATCGAATAGGTGGCCAACAAGGGTGTTATATATATATAACAATGTCAAAACCCCGTAGCCCTTGTGACAAAAGAGATTAAAGCGTGTGAGCTAGAGACTTCCTCTCCATACATAAATCCCAATCTCTCGCTCATAAAATTGTTGCTGCCTTGCATACATTCATCAATCGAGTTTCATTTTCCTCAAGAGAGACGCAAGACCAGGCATTATTAGCCGCGACGCAATGCTGATATCTCAACCTCCTCTCACGCTCACCAAGTTGGTATGTCTTTCAGTTTATTGATTAATTTACTCCAACAGACAAAACGCAAATTAAGCTCTCCATTATAGGTTGTCTTCCTCAATACTAATCCCTCCATCTTCTTCTCTTAAATCCTTCTCACATTCTCACTAGCTAGCTAGCTCATTTATATCTTTTCGCTAAGATTATGGGTTCGGGTTCAGTCTTTCCATTGTCAAGTGTGCTATTAATATTAACCCTAGGAGCTCTTCTGGTTGCATTCTTTGTTAACCCGGCATGCTCCACTTCAAGACGTGCTCTCGATCTCCATGACCACCACCACCAAACCATGCAAAATGGGTTCAAGGTGACTCTCAAACATATTGATTCTGATAAAAACTTTACCAGACTCGAGCGTCTTCAACGCAGAATCAAGCGTGGCCGGAAAAGGTTGCAAAGGCTCAACGTTTTATCCACCTCATCATCAGATCATAATTTGGGTGCCACCTCCCCTGTCCACGCCGGGCAAGGAGAGTTCTTAATGAAGTTATCAATTGGCACTCCAGCTGAAACCTACAACGCTATCTTGGACACCGGGAGCGATCTCATCTGGACTCAATGCAAGCCTTGTAAGGACTGTTACGATCAGCCAACCCCGATTTTCGACCCCAAAAAGTCCTCAACATTCTCAAAGCTATCATGTGAAAGCGAGTTTTGTGAAGCACTACCCTCACAAACATGCACCAACAACTCCTGTGAGTACTACTACGCTTATGGTGATTTTTCCTCCACAGATGGGATTCTCGCAACCGAAACGTTCACATTCGGAGACGTTTCCATCCCGAAAATAGGGTTTGGATGTGGGAAAGACAATCAAGGTGGTGGGTTCAATCAAGGTGCTGGTCTTGTGGGGTTAGGGCGTGGAACATTGTCGTTGGTTTCGCAGCTCAAGGAGCCCAAGTTCTCTTATTGCTTGACCTCCGTGGACGACACAAAAAGTAGTAGCACACTTTTGATGGGGTCTGTAGCAAACTTGGCCAACACTACATCAAAGCACGCAGATATCAAAACAACCCCTTTGATCAAAAACCCAAACCCAGACCAATCAACTTTTTACTATCTTGGCCTTGAAGGCATCTCCGTGGGTGACACTCGGTTGCCTATAGAAAAAGACACATTTGCCCTCGGAGATGATGGCAATGGTGGGCTAATCATAGACTCGGGGACAACTCTTACGTACATAGAAGAAGGTGCTTTTGATTTACTCAAGACGGAGTTCACTTCCCAGATCAAGCTTGCAGAGGCAGACGCGACTGATACCGTGGGGCTTGAGGTGTGCTTCAAATTGCCGGAGGACGACGGCTCTGGAAAAGTAGAGGTGCCAAAGTTGGTGTTTCATTTCAAGAATGCGGATTTGGAATTGCCTGCTGAAAATTATATTATTGCTGATACCGACGTTGGAGTACTTTGTTTGGCCATGGGGTCTGCCAGCGCTATGTCTGTGTTTGGGAATTATCAGCAGCAGAATTTTCTGGTTTATCATGATCTTGTCAAGGAGACGATTTCATTTGTTCCTACAAAATGCGACCAATTGTGATTGGGTCGGCTATTATTCTTGGTGTACCCACGTACGCTTAGTTTGTCATGATATCATATTTTTTTTTCTCTTTCTTATAACAAAAACAATTAAAGTCATGATTTGTTTACCTAGCTAATCTACTCTAAACGAATCAAATTAAAAAAATAAAAGATTAGTCTATATATAATTAAGTATTAATAATATAGCCATATTGTGTGGTACTGTCAAAACTCTTTGTATAATATATGTTTTTGGGTAAAACATACTTTTCGTCCCTTATTTTCTTATTGTTAATATTTTGGTTTCCTTCTCGAATTTGAATAAAATAGAGACGAAATGTCGCTAGACTAAACGGTCATGACACTTACTTACTTCTATAATTAAATGTATGAGTTAATAAACAAGACTATATATAACCTCAATCAAAATCAATTAAAATAGTTGAAATTGCAATTTGATTTCTTATGTTATTTAATGATAACCCAATACAGATAATATACTATCTCATACATCATCAGTTATGATCAAGCCATAAACATAGCTTACAATTACAACAATCAACCAAGAATGGCGATTATCTCTCCAGTAAATTTAGCAAACCTAACATTGACATTATTCCTCTCACTCAATGGTGATTGTCGCCATCGTCCTCCTCTGGAAAATGACTCTTCACAAGTGTTTACCTCATCAGCAACATCTGCAACATCATTCCTCGCGTCCACGAAGTGACTCAATATCACATTTTTAGTGGCCTCCGTAGTCTTTCCAACACCCAAATCATACTCATCCTTGCAAGTTCCAAGACCTTTCCGAATATACTCATCACTCGTTTCATTAAACAACCTCACAATTCGAGCTTGAGTGTCCACAGAATTGGTCAGCGTTTGGTCAAGCGCAATACGAGCCAGTCCTTTAACATCAGCTGTAGAACTACGAGGGTCAAATTTTAACGATGACACACATAAACCGTACGTAATTGGTGGTTTTGCGGCACGTCTCTTCTACTAAATCTGCACTCACTGATATTCGAGATTGGCTTACAACAAAGAGTGTGAGACATGCAATGATCCATTTGAGAGATCTCATTCTTCTTGTTTTTGTATTTCAAATTTCAATATCTCAAGGCTCTTACTGAGAGAATGTATAATTGTTACTTGTACAATTCCAGGTAATCTGATTTATCTCTTTTCCACAAATGCAAATACGGTTTTGGAAAATAATAGAATGTTGTATATACAACGCACGCAATGCAACAAAAATGGAATATAATATCTATAGAAATCGAGGGATTGTCATTCTCTACATTTATCATATGTTAAGGACTATAAATATCATAAACAACGTATGAGGATACAAAGGAGAACTTATAGAATGGTACTTGAATATGACGACGTGATATAACTTGTACACGTGTTATAATATAGGTGAACGACAAGGTTAATATTTCTTCATTTTAGGAAACAGTATCGATAAAATATCCACTTATATTGTAACACGTGAACAAGTCATACCATGTGACTTATTTGAGGAGAAATAATAGTGGTATGGAATGGATAGATATAAGAAATTAACTATTATTTTCTATTTTTAAGAAAGACTCCCCCACAACATTGAATACTCACTACTTTTTTTTTCCTACTTTTTAGTGTAGATGATTCTCCTAGCATTTTTTTTTCCTTGGTTACTTTTGGGCCGAGGCTTGCCAAAATCCAAATGAAAATGTAAATGAATTCATAGCAATATCGAGAGTCTTAACCTCCAATGCTTTGAAAAATTGACCGAGCAATCTGCTGTACAAATATGCTCAAATAATCTCCTACCCGAGATAGCTACATTTGTCATCATTGCCGAACCGCAAACGTTTGACGCGCTAATCTCAAAGGCATGCAATGTTGAATGACAAGTAGCTCGACAAATAGTGACTCAAATTCTCTCCGAGCTCTTGACAGTTAGGGTGATCGAGCTTCCTGAGCTTAAAAGACAAGCTGAAGTCAACAACAACATGACTCCAATTATTTGTCTGCACCATCGGATTCTCAGTCATCTGACAAAGGATTGTTATGTCCTCAAGGATATGATTGACCATGTCAGTCATCGAAATTGATTGAACAAAAAAAAATTGCTTGTTGGATTGAAAACCGAAAGGACTATTCAAGAAAAAGTTAGAGCCACCCAAAAAATAAAAAGCTTAGTGGGTTGAAAATCCAAAAGGGCTGCCAAATAAAAAAGAACTACGGTCGACTTAATTTCTCAAAAGGGGTATGTAAACAATCCAGTCTTTAAAAAGCTAGATTTAGTCACAAGGAACAAAAATTCACCAGGTCAAAGACCCAAGTAGTACAAAATCAAGTTAAAGGCCCAAGTGATACAAAACCACACAAATTAAACAATCTTTTTTGGAACTACGTCAGTTTGATCTCGCCAAGGGTACGTAAGCAGTCTAACATCCCACTAGACACAACCACAACCAAATTTGAATCCCTAGTTTCCCTTACCAAGTGCAATGAGTCATTCACTCATTACAATTTTGAACTACGTTGGTTTGATTTCATTAAGGATATGTAGGCAGTCTAGAGACTAGATGCAACGCCCAAATTTCAAATTTAAACAGAATCACTCGTTTATTCTAAATAAAATCCCTCCACCCCCCACCAAATTTCCTCACACAAATCATCAAATTTCCCTCACCAAATCATTATTTTAGTGGGTCATTCACTCATTGAAAATTTTGAACTACGAGTGGCTTGATTCTCAAAAGGGATTGCAACTTAAATTAATTAAGAGACATTTTATCTCAAATGGGTCGAACCTGAAACAAATAATAAAATCTCATTATTTAGACAGTGGTTGTGAAATTATGTTGGAGCTCACATTTTTCCTCCACAATACTTGAAATATCTTATCATTGCTTTTTTTCTTCTTCTTTTTTTACGACAATTTATTTTAACTCTGATTCACCCACGATTTGAACCAAAACGTACTCTACATAACATTATACCATCAGCCAAATCATTTGGAGAGGAAATAATAAAAAAGATGTTTACCTTTATTTAACCTTAATAGTAAAAATTGAGGGTTACATTATACTTAAAATTAACCTAGAATATGAATAATTTGCGAACCAATTACAGCTAAATCCTTTACATCATTGTTATTTTTCGTTAATGGCGATGGTCGAACTGGTTCCTCATGGAACGACTCTTCACAAGTGTCTGCGTCAACATAGACGCCCGAAAGACCTTCCCTTGCATTCCTATAACTTTTAGATTTCAGATTTGCAAGGACACCATTCATGTACTGAATAGCTACACCGTACTCCTCGGAGCATATTTGGAAGCATTCTTTTATAACTCGCTCAGTTGCCTCCTTATATAATTTGCTGGCTTTGGAAAATGTATCCTGCAGATTGATTTGTATCTGATCAGCCACGATCTGAGCAAGCCCTTGAACATCTGCAGTAGCACTACCAGGCTTTGATCTTAAAAAGGACACACAAAATTTGAAGTTAGAGGTTTTGTTGCATGTGTCCTCTATCAAATCAGCACTCACCGATGTAAAGGATTGATAAAAAATAAGGAGAGCAATAACAATTGTAACCCATCTCAGTAATTTCATCTCCATTTTCTCAAGACGAGAGCAATGTATATAACTTGCAGGCGCACACACACACACATTTATACACAAAACTTCATTAGGTCAAATAATTTTGATTTAGGAAGGAAATCCAGAACTTAATGGAATTGTTTAAATAGGATGGATTTGGATTAGGTCAAATAATTTAGATTTAGGAAGGAAATCCAGAACTTAATGGAATTGTTTAAATAGGATGGATTTGGCCATGGCCTCCAAACAAGGTATAAAATAATTTCTGAAGCAAAATCCCAAAATTTGTGGTTGAACGATTGTACCATGTTTGTGGATCCTTATATAGTGGAATTGTTTTCTTCAAAATATTGATCTTTAGTTTTAAATGTCAAATAAATCCTTAGCTCTAAGCAATATAAACATAATAAGAAAAAAGATTTATTATTCTTTTTTGGGGTTCTTAGATCTAGGTCCAAAACGATTAGCTGTCATTGGGTTTAGTCCACGTGTTTTTTTATTTTAGATGTAGGTCCTTTGATTTTTTTTTTTTGTGTGTCGATTTTACCCATTCGGGTAAATAAGGAAAACACATTGAAAATCTAAATTTAATGCATTATTTCCTCATAATTGAATTTCAGATTTTAAATTTTGAATTATTTCCTTGATAATATTTACCTAATATATGGATAAAATACAATTTAATTAATGAAAGTAAAAACCCACATATTATACCAATTATTTAGGCAATCACCCGCATGAAATTATGTACCTAACATACATGTAAGTTGTGTTATTATTAGCAATGGAAAAACTTAGTGATAAATCGTGTTACCCAGAAGTCTGGAACATAAATTAAAAGACTACATATAAGTTAGGAACATAAATTAGAAGACTACATATAAGTTAGATACAAAAATAGACAAATAAAATATGTATGTTACCTATAAAAAAAATTAAAAAAAAGGTACATAAGATACTATTATACATTGTTGAAAATATGAAATATATATATTATATAGATATTTATAAATAAACCCAATCCTAGACATGTATTTATAAAAAAACCCAAACACTATTTAAACATAGAAACACACCCAAAATCAACCCCACAATCAACAATTGTATATTTTTTGGGTATGTTTATAAATGAGTTTTGAATGTGTGTAATGATGAGTTTTGGGTGTGTTTATAAAGTGTTTTAGGTGTTGGGTTTTTTTATAATTTCAGCCCCCATTTTGGGTGTTTTAGTGAAACTCCCTATATTATACCTATGCAATAGGCAATAGAACAATATACCTACACCATAGGATTATCCACAAGAGTATGTAATATACCTCTACTATAGAGGGTGAACAAAAATAAAAATTGTTACCTATAACTCATGTGCTAAACGATGTGCTACTGTATTTGCTTCCCTAAAAACACTTGAACAATCAGTAATTCCATCGCCTAAAGGCAAGAGAAGCAGGATGAAACTTACCCAAAGGATGGTCAACAACTTCTGTGCAAGCATTAGCACATCCAACGACCATTGATGGACCACCCTTTCTGGGATGAATGAGATTGGAGTGTGAGTCACCATCCATAAGAGCACGGATTCGGGTCAGCCCAACGGTGTGGTTCTTAGTGTAGCCACGACCATTTGGCTATCAGTATCTCCACAAAATGTGTTCAATTTTTTCAAGGATGAAAGAACTCAATTTGGAATATGTTTTTGATATTTTCCTTTTTTATTCAATGACAAACGTTATAAATGGTTAATTATTATCACATAAATTACTATTACCCGATTCAATGCATAAAGGGCAACATTGGAACAAAAAATGATTACATCGTAAAATATTTAAATCTAACTTCTTAATGGAAATTTGGATCTATATCAACTTTTCTATTCTAAGTACAAGTGATAGTCTAAACTAGAGGGAAGATGGATTTCTCACACACATGCATACAACTAAGATGCTATGGGGGTTCGAACCTGAGACCTCTAGTAAGTCAAGGTCCTTTTCCATTGGGCTAGACTCCATTGACAAATAATACCCCGTTGGCAAGTAACAGATCTAATTCTTTATTAGTATCTTCTATATATAAAACGGGAGAAGTAGGGATTGGTGAAACTTTTAAAATAGTGATGCTATTTTCACCCCATGTCCTATTTCCCCACCCACCATGTAAATTTTAAAAAATACAATCCTATATTTCTACCCACCATTATTCCTAAAATTAATTGAGTACACCCTACTACCAAAGTATTTATTGAATTACCAATTTACCCTAATATAAAATGACCAAATAGGATATATTGAATTGTGAAACAAATATAATTTTAATAAGTACACCCTACTCATCATATTCAATCCTAATCAAACGTAGAGAAGTTTTCGTATTGTTTGGTGCCCACGCAAAATCTTATGTTTTTGAGAGGAGAGAAAGAATTTACACTCCCAACATTTTAGATATATGTGAGAGCTTCACCAAGACCACAAATCGGGGAGACAAACTTTTCCAAATACCAGAGGTGGCATGCATATGAAATGCGGCTGTATATTATCCGATCTTTGTAGCTCAGATATTTTGTATGGGTCAGAATCATCAGATAATGGGCTCATCTTGGCTTGGCAATTTCATTTTACCGAGATTTTAGTGGAAATAATATTATGAAGATTCTTATTTCAAATCCTGAAATGAAAGATAGATAACAGAGTCTTACAATGGAGATGGAATGCCAAAGATTGTGCATTAATATAAGTTGATATTAGGATTGGTAAAAAGAGAAATTTGAAAAGAGAGCATGAATTCATGTAAAAAGCGAAACCTGGTTTGAGGATTGGTCTTGGGATTTTGTGTGATAGAGTGCATTAGAGTGTACTAGGGGTGTTTTTGGTAGTTAAATAAGGTGTACTTAATTAATTTTACATTTTGGTTAAAATATTATGGTGTACTTAGATCATAGGGTGTACTCAGTTATTTATTTATTTATTATTTTTATTTTTATCAAAGAGAAGAATTTCATTGAACTTGCATTAACACTTACAATAGAATCAATTGGCAAAACGGAGGGCTAAGAGTGGCCTTATTAAAACCTTGCCATATAAAACCCCAAAAGAGGAAAATCTGGTCAAGGAAAAAGAGTACCACAACACCTCCAAATAAACAACAGAGGAAAACAAAAAAGCACCGTTAAGTCTGCATCCTATCGCTCTCTAGTACCTGCTCCAACCAAGGAAGGGCAATATCTTTCCAAAAAAACTACAGACCCTTCTTCAATCCAAACTGGGCCAGTACATGTACATCAACCACCCTATGATCTGCCATTAATCGTCTAATATCCTCCACCATATTACCCAAATTACTCCACCACTCCAAAGCTCCCTTGAGCATCGCCACTGCTTCTTTGGAGTCAGTTGCAAGCACAAACTGAGTATATCCTTTAAACCCCATCATCAATAACCTATACCCTTAATGCCACCAACTCAGTGCCTAATACATTCAGCCTAGGCGGACCGAAAGTAGCAAACCCATATATGAATCTCCCTGCATTATCTCTACAACAGCCCCCTAAACCTCTCACTCCTCCTTCCCAGTCCAAAGCACCATCACAATTAAGAATAATGGTATGCAGAGGCGGTCGATCCCATTTGATTTACTGAGACACCCCAGACAGCTGGGGCCGCACCAAATAGGATTTATAACTTCCATATAGCTCCATAGTTCTCTCGACTAAATCTTCTACTCGAGGAACAGATTTTCCATGCAACATATCATTACGTGTCTGCCATAGCTTCCAAACACAACAAACAAACCTCTCCAAGTCAACCTATGAGCAAGCTCTAATAACCGTATCAAATAAATCTGCAAAAGAGCCCTCACTAATTTTAAAACACCCAGCAAAAGTCGTACACCTCCAAAACTGCTTGCTGAACTTACAACTCCACGAAGCATGACAGGCATCCTCGTAATATTTGCCTCATCTGAAGCAAACTTGGGACTGAACTACTTTCCTCTTATACAAATTAATGACAGTGGAGAAGATCTATGAACACGCCCTACACACCAGATTCTTAATCTTACTTGGCACCTCAAGCTTCCAGAGTTTCTTCCAAAAAGATTGTCTTGTCGAGGAATCTGAGCTACCAATATCAAAGTTCTCGTCACATTGGGATAAAGCCACTCGATATCCAGTTTTAACTGAGTACTTTCCGATTTTTTCGAAGTACCAGTATTGGTTGTCACCCAATTGTGCGACTGACCCTAGAGCTATGCTTGCTATTGCCTCTTTATCCTCCACACAGAAGTGGTTTGTTAGCAAAGCCATATCCCATGCTCCAAAATCAGTGATTAAATCAGCCACCTTAGCATTCCAATCCAATTCTGCATTCCATAACGATTTAAAAGCACACAGTTTAAGAATCCACTTGTCATGAAAAATCCTAATTGAATTCCCATTCCCAACTCGCCAAACCAGCCCTTCCTCAATAACCTCTCGTCCCCACAAAATAGATTGCCATATCAAAGACGGTGAATGACCCAGAGGGGCCCCCATGAAGTCTCCATGTGGAAAATATCGAGCCTTCAAAATCTTTGCCACCAGAGAGTTGGGTTTCTCCAAAATACGTCATAGGGTGTACTCAGTTAATTTTAGGGTTCGTTTAGCAATACTCAATATGAAAGTTAACCAATTACAGCACATGGGCCGCTTATTTACAATATTTAAGACTAGAAAGTGCCTCGCTCCACCACATTGCTCCCCACTGATCAACTTGGAGTTCAAACATGCATTATCTTCTTGTTTTTTTATTGCTTAATGGTAGCATAGCCCCACGATCACTTGTCAGTTTTTACTGAAGCCTTTGAAGCATATAAATAGAGGAGGAAAGCTCATGATTAAAGACAACCAATCTTAACAACAAACAATCGATTTGAAAAATATTCAAATTCAACTACTCTCGATAACCTCGAAGTATCGACTCAAATACCTTGTCAAAGTGTCTCACTGCAGACCAAAGCCAAGACTTGAATCAAAGCCCTTCTCATTC